TCTTAAAACAAAACAAAACAAGGAATCCACATAGCAAACCCGTGTTCCAATCCCAGCTAAACTCACTTCAGATTTCCGAGAACATAGAAATTGGGAAGCAACAGAAATGGCTCAACTAACTGTGGTTCCTGCCATGCACATGGGGACATGGGGGACATAGATTACATTCTACGGCCAGGCTTCAATCCCAGCTGTTGAGACTTTTGGATAAAGAACCGTGTAGTGGTGCTATGTGCGTATGCAGGTGTGTAAGACTTGGATAAAATGTGTGTGTATGTAAGACTTTTGGATAATGAATCATGGAGTGGCGTGATTGTGTGTGTGTATAAAAATTCTGGATAATCCACCTTGGAGTGTGGGGGTGATGGTAGTAGTGGTGGTGTGTGCGTGGTGCTTCTCTCTGCCTCTCAAACTGATGTGGCCACAAGCCAGGGGATATAGTAGCCATGAGAAGCCAAAAGTGCGTTGATCTGTGCCCAGTGAAACAGATTTCCCATTTCTGGTCTGTAGAATCAAGAATAAACTTGTTGTCCTAAGTCCCTGAGTTCATGCTAGTTTGTTATCCCGGCCACAAGAAACTAACAGAAAAAGTTAGAGATGCCTATAGAGCATCCAAACAGGAATTTCAAATAAGCTCGTGGTATAAGAGTCTGGGGTTCAATACAGTGACATGGCAGGCTAATCCTCCACCTATGGTGCCAGCATCCCATTTGGGCACTGTTTCATGTCCTGGCTGCTCCATTTCCAATCCGGCTCCTTGCTATGGCCCAGGAAAGCAGCAGAAGATGGTCCAAGTCCCTGGGCAAAATTGTCCTCTTACCTCTAGGTCCTTTCGAATGCTCTCAAACTCTTCAATGTCATCAAGCTTTAAGTCCAGGCGCGTGGGTTTTCGTCGTAGCATACTGAAATGCACACTAAGAACTGGAGCCAATAAACTACAAGCTATTAAAAAGCACAAAGAAAAGTTAAAAATAAGATGGGATTAGTTTCAATTACAAACATCAGGTCAGTTTGTAAGCATATATGCTAAAGGAAGACAGTTGAAAAACTCACTTGGAGTCACACATAGATCATTTGGCTTTTTTTTTTTTTAAGCAGAGTGATAGGCCTGGTGCAGTAGCCTAGTGGCTAAAGTCCTTGCCTTGCATGCACCAGGATGCAAGGTTCTAATCCCAGCATCCCCACTTTCCATCCAGCTCCCTGCTTGCGGTCTGGGAAAGCAATCAAGGACAGTCCCAAGTCTTGGGTTTCTGCACCCACGTGGGAGACCTGAATGAAGCTCCAGGTTCCAGATTTCAGAGCGGCTCAGCATCGCTTGGGGAGTACCACCTGCAGTCGCTTGGCGAGTGAATCAACAGATGGAAGATCTTGCTCTCTGTCTCTCCTCCTCTCTATATATCTGCCTTTCAATAAAAATAAATAAATCTTTAAATTTAAAAAAGTGACAGAGAAATAGACTGAAAGGGAGAGGTTTTCCATCCACTCATTCACTACTCCTATAGCTATGGTGGCTGGGGCCAGGCTAGGGAGAAGATGGTGTCAGGAATTCCATCTAGGTCTCCAACATGGGTGGCAGGGGTTCACATACTTGGGCCATTATCTGCTGCTTTCCCAGGCACATCAGCAGGGGGCTGGACCAGAAGCAGAACAGCCACAACTGATACAAGATGCCATGTTGCAAGATTGGGTTTAACCCTCTAAAGCACAGTGCTGGCTTCACACAAAAGTTCCTGAAGTCCTCAGCTGTACAGTTCTTATACTTATGTTACATGACACAGGTCCACACTCAGTCATTCTAAAAACCTCTTTCTGAAAGAAGTTAGACCAGCAAGCTGCCTATAAGAGAATTCTAGGGCCCGGCGGTGTGCCCTAGCAGCTAAGGTCCTTGCCTTTAACATGCCAGGATCCCATATGGGCACAGGATCCCAGGGCACCTGGCAGCCCTGCTTCCCATCCAGCTCCCTGCTTGTGGCCTGGGAAAGCAGTCGAGGACAGCCCAAGGCCTTGGGATCCTGCACCTGTGTGGGAGGCCCGGAGGAAGTTCCTGGATCCTGGCTTCGGATTGGCACAGCACCGGCTGTTACAATCACTTGAGGAGTGAATCATTGTATGGAAGATCTTCCTCTCTGTCTCTCCTCCTCTCTATATCTGACTTTGCAATAAAAAAAAATAAATCTTTAGAAAAAAAAAAGAATTTTAGGCAATAATCATGAACTCCATGCTCCAGTCATATGCAAAGAAATATTTTCGCTAAAACACTGGAATAATCACATCTTAATTCAGTGGTTGGGGCAAGAGTAAAAGCCATGACATGAGAGCCATCACAGCGCTGAATTCATTAAATCTCATGAAATTCCTGCCAACTCACCAATACACAAGATTATCTTCAGTGTCTAAATCAACCAGGCAAATCATTCATGGACAAAGAGTTCTTGTGCTCTTGCTACAAAGTTAAAGGTTCAGTCACAACCTGTGGGAAAAACAGGCAAGGGATGAGATAACTATGGAGTAAGACCATCCCTGTGGGTAGCACCCTGGCAAGCACACCAGCGTGAGATCTGGAGCGAGCATGCCGGCATGCCGTGGTGGCCAGGGATGCTCAGCACAGCACGAGGCAGGAACTGACATCTAAATGAAGTCTTAGTCCATGTAGAAAGAGCATACACAGAGAAAAAACGTATAAAGAAGCTCAAGAGAACAGTCTGAGTCTAGGAAACAACGTTAAAAATCATTTCATGGGCTGGCACAGCGGCTCAACTGGCTAGTACTTCACCTGTAAGCACCAGGACCTCATAGGAGCACCAGTTCATGTCCCAGTTGCTCTACTTCTCATCCAGCTCTCTGTCTGTGGCCTAGGGAAGCAGTGGAGGAAGGCCCAAAGTCTTGAGACCCTGCACCTATGTGGCAGGCCCAGAAGAGTCTCCTGGCTTCGGGACAGCTCAGCTCTGGCTGTTGTGGCCATTTGGGGAGTAAATCAACAGATGAAAGAACTTTCTCGCTGTCTCTCTGTAAATCTGCTTTTCCAATAAAAATAATAAATCTTTAAAAAAAAATTCCTTGAGCAAACAAGACCGTCCCAATCACATCTAATACCTGTAACGGCACCTTATTTAAACTTTTGACATCGATTTGCATCTCTTCATGCTGTCCCACAGAGTCTATCTACTATTAATCAGATTTTTTATTATATTACTATTAAGCAATTAGTAAATGCTGAAAAACGGAGAGATTGAATACAAATGAATGTGTGTGAGTGGCAATCTGCTGCTCATTTTCCCATTACCTTTCCTTATCTTCTGATTTTGATATAAACCCCTGTGAAGCTAAATTCATCCCTCTTTTACAGACAAAAGAAATCAAACTGTTCAGTCTGGTTCATAATTTTGGCCTCCTGTGAACAATTATGCACTCATTAAAGTCATGAGGATTCAATGACATGAGTGAAGGCAAGTGGAGGTCCTAAGATGAAACCAGGGATTGAGACATATGAAAAGCAAGATGTGTCCTTCTCCCCTGAAGCTTGCGACAGACACGGTGGTCACACTACAGTGGCACAGGACACTTCAAGTTGCTCTGCATTCAATCAGACGCTATCTATCGGATTCCAAGGTCAACACACGGTGGAGAAAAACTGCACAATGCAAAGCTGGTGCTAGGAAGCCAGACAGAGGAACAGTAAAAGTGCTGGCTCTAGAAAGAAAAAGATAGAAGCTCGAATCCCATTAAGTCATGGAACCTTTTTTTTCTTTTAACTTATTTTATTTATTTGGAAGTCACAATTATGGAGAAAGTCTTGCATCACTGGTTTACTCATGAAAAGGCCCCCAGAGCCTGAGCCAGGAGCTTCTTTCGGGTCTCCCACCGGATGCAGGGGCCCAGACAGTTGGGCCATCCTTTGCTGCTGTTTTCCCAGGTGCATTAGCAGGGAGCTGGGTTCAAAGTGGGGCAACCTGGACTCTAACAGGTGCCCTTATGGCACGGCAGGCAGGATTTAACCTGCCTGCCACAGCGCCGGCCCAGTAAGTTACCGATTTTTAATAATCCACTTTATCTCTCACTAGTCTTTCATTTCCTGCCCTCTCGTCTGTTGCTGTCTGAATTCAACAGCCTAAAGCAGTTTACGCTCCTGATCCACAATTTGGCATTTAGCAAACACTCAGCAAGTAACAGCTATTTATTATTGCTGTTGTTCTGGGGGGTGTGGGGGGGTCGGTAGAGGATCCAGAAGACAAGGATGGGGAGGGAGGGTCTGTCCAGCTCCGGGAGCTGGAATATTTTGATCTCCCACCCACCACCACATGCCTTGTTCAGCTGAGGCCCCGCGGCGCCCAGCGGGACACAAGGCTTTGCAGCAAAGCACCGGCTGCAGTCTATCCGGCGCCTTCCTGGCCCTCATCTCTCTCTCTCTCAGTCCGGCACAAAGACGCGGCTGAAGAGGACAAAATAAAAACCAGGCCGAACCTTTCCCCTCGTCCTCATTCCCTTTGGACGCTAGAGGGCTCTCTGAGCCGCATCTGCCACCGTAATCGGACGCAGCTCAGACGTGGCCCTTGGGCGCAGGACTTCCCTGCCCGAGAGCCGCGCTCGCCCAGCACCAGGACGACACTCTCCGGGCCGGGCGCGGGTTTCCATGGCAACGCGGTCCTCCACCGCGGGACGCCGTAAAGCCTCCCAGAGGCCTCGGTTCGCTCCAGAATTCAGCCCGGGGCCTCGCGACCCGACTCACTTACCTCTCTCCAAGCCTGCTCAGCCCCTTCCCGGAAGGAATCCTGGCACCCACCACGAAACGATGGCCAGGCCAACTAGACTACATTTCCCAGAATGCCTCGAGCCCCCTCTGCCCGCAGCTCCTCGGCTCCCGCGAGCTTTCCTCGCTGGTTCTACGAGGGCTCGCCCCTGCACGCGACTAGAATGCTAACTACTACGACTCCCATCCTGCTTCGCGCCGCTCGACTCTTTTCCGGCCTCTGACGCAAGTTCCGTGTTGCTGGGCGCGCGCGCGGTGGATGGTCTGAAGCGTAGAGCCAGGCTCTTTCTGGGGCTCGGCGGGTCTGGAGCCCCAGCATGGCTTCGTCACGAAGCTCCTCCACGGTACGGGAGCTCGGGGTCTCGGTCCACTCGTGCAGGCAGCGCCGAGAGGATGGGTGGGGACGGTGCCCGAAGGGAAGCATCCGCCTGGGCTCGTAGGGTGGTGGGCGGAGAGGACGGCTGCGGTACTCGGTCTTGAGGTGGCAGAGCTGCGTTCTCTTGGTACTGCAGCGGGTCCGTGTGCTGCAACTTGTGCGCAGGTATCTGACCACATCCCCGAGCAGCATCGCCGCCTCCCCCTAGTGCAAAAGCAGCCCTCCTTGTCCCAGGATGCTGTCTTTATCAGCTCTCGGAAGCGGCATGAGGCCTCGCAGCCCCTAACCTGCTGTAGCACCCCAGGTCTGAAAACGCCCGAGATGGACAGAGCAGGGACGTTGTAACTTGCTAATAACACCTTAGCACTGCTTTGGCCCTTTCGCTCACCCTTAGTATTGCCTCCGAGGTGGAAGTAATCACAAAACCCAGGAGTTTGCACTCTGGCAGCAGGAAGTAATCGTATTCCTTGGAAAGAAAATGCCCCAAGCGAGGGTCGGGCCTGGTTAGTACTTGGATGGGAGAAAATGCCCCCCCCGCGGACCTCAATAGGTTTAGGCACCTCACTTCCTACCTACCACACCTAGGGGATGGAAGGACCGGAATCCCTGCCCACCCGGGTGTCCCCGTGCAGCCTTCTTGTTTAGGGGAGCATTGACTGGGTGAATCCCGTCCTGGGGGCCAGCTTCGTGAATATCTCGGAGTGAGCTGTAAGTTCATCTGAGTGTTGGGTTTGACAGGCGACCAAGACGAAGGCACCTGATGACCTCGTGGCCCCCGTGGTAAAGAAACCGCACATCTACTATGGAAGCTTGGAGGAGAAGGAAAGGGAGCGCCTGGCCAAAGGAGAAGCCGGAATTTTAGGAAAAGAAGGACTCAAAGCAGGAATCGAGGCAGGAAATATTAATATCGCCTCCGGTAAGACGACAGTTTTGAGAATGCCTTCACCTTTAATGCTTCAACTTAACTGTAGCGAAAACCTTCCAGAAGTTGCACAGTTCTCGTTTTATACTTAAAGGTTTTGATCTTGCAACTTGCATCTGTACAGCCATACTTTTCCTATACGCCAAGCCTTTGATACAAGTTTTAATGTATCTTTTCTTAAATGATCACATTTATCTCTATGGACATCTAACATAATTCTGGCTTTGGTTTGAAGCCGGAATGGTTCGCGTTCTGATAGGCTAAGCAGTGTAAGCAGGTGTGTGGCTTAGTGGTTACAATGCCACTTGGGACAGTGGGGTACTCGGGTTCAGCTCCCACCTCCACTCTGGCTCCACTCTGGATTCTAGCGTCCTGCTAATGCTGTCCACCCCTTGGACATCAGCAGGTGATGGCTCAAGTACTTGAACTCCTGCAACAGTGTGAGATGCCCAGATTGAGTTCCAGGGACATGGCCCAGTTGCTTCAGGCTGTTAAGAGGGCAGACCAGCTCGAAAAAGATCACTCTCTGTCTCTGAACCTATCAAAAGGAAAAATAAAAATTAAAAACTAGAGGCAAGAAGATGATACAGTGTATGACTGTGTGAAGTAAAAAGTCCTGGATTCCTGGTATCTGTCTGTGTACATCCTTCTGGGAATTGTGAATACAGCTATAAAATACGTAGCTTTTTTCCATAAATGAAATTGTGATGCATTAATAGTTTTGTAACCTGCATTTTTCTATGTGTTGTTAAGGATATCTTCTCATGTCAGTAACAAGCAGTCTACTGTTACCTTTTTTTTTTGGATTTATTTATTTATTGGAAAGTCAGATATATAGAGAGGAGGAGAGACAGAGAGGAAGATCTTCCGTCCAATGATTCACTCCCCAAGTGAGCGTAACGGCCGATGCCATTCCAATCCAAAGCCAGGATCCAGGAACTTCTTCCGGGTCTCCCGGCTTCGGGTGTAGGATCCCAAAGCTTTGGGCCGTCCTAGGCTGCTTTCCCAGGCCACAAGCAGCGAGCTGGATGGGAAGTAGAGCTGCTGGGATTAGAACCGGCACCCATATGGGATCCTGGCGCGTTCAAGGTGAGGACTTTAGCCGCTAGGCCATGGCACCGGCCCCTACTGTTACTTTCTAAGTAAAAATCATATGCGTCCTACTAAGGTGCTGAGGAAGGCGTAAAGTGGAGACTCCCCTTCAGTTTAAATCAGTGGCTTTAAACCTTTTAAGCTGTTTCTAAACATAGCTTTCTTTTAAAAAAAAAAAAGATATATTTATTTTTATTGGAAAGGCAGGTTTACAGTGAGAGAGACACAGAAGGAAAGCTCTTCCATCCTCTGGCTCACTCCTCAAATGGCTACAATAGCCAGAGCTGAGCCAGTCTGAAGTCAGGAACCAGGAACCTCTTCTGGGTCTCCCATGAGGGTGCAGGGTCCCAAGGCTTCAGGCCATCCTCCACTGCTTTTCCACACCGTAAGCAGGGAGCTGGATGGGAAATGGGGCAGCTGGGACATGGACCAGTGTGAATGTGGGATGTCAGCGCTTGGAGTTGGAGGACTAACCAGTCAAGCCATTGTGCTGGGCCTCTAAACAACTTTTTAAAACCATACCTCTCATTTTTTAAAAATGCAAATGATTCTATTTGTAGGGTTTTAACACTAGTTGCTAAATTACTTTTTAAAAAACACACAGAACCTCATGGTAACGCAAATCTCATTTTCATGGTAATTATTTTTAGTTAATTGATTTATTTTGATAAGTGTCTCTAGTCTGGAACTGTTTTAGACAATACCATTGGCAATTGTTACAATAATTCTTTGTTTTATTGTAAGATTTATTTGAAAAAGTCACAGAGAAAGAGATCCTTCATTGCTGTTAATTCTCCAAACTGCTGTAACAGCCAGCCAGAGCTGGTCCAGACCTATCCCAAGATCCCAGAATGGCCTCTGGGTCTCCCATGTGGGTGGCAAGGGCCCAGGTCCTTGGGCCATCTTCCACTGTTTAACCAGGCACTTTAGCAGGGAGCTGGATCTGATAGGGCAGCTGGGATTCAAACCAGGACCACTGGGAGGCACCAGTGTCACCAGTGGCTACTTTTACCTGCTTCGTTACAGTGGCAACCCCTGTCAGAACTTTTTCCTTTTCATTCATTTCATTTATAAAAGATGTTCTGTACTCTTTCATTCTGAGCACATCTAAGCTATATTTTCAGGTAGGCTTAAGGTGGCCCCCAAAAAAACCCTGAAAAGTCACCATATCAAATGTATGTAGTAGATTAGAGAGGATGTATGCAGACTCTGTTAGAAATTCTTGCCGTCTCTCTGTGTGTAGGCGGTCTGGTAGTTACGTCAGTGTTGCCTGTTCTCTTCACAGGTGAAGTATTTGAAATTGAAGAGCACATCAGTGAGCGACAGGCAGAAGTATTGGCCGAGTTTGAAAGGAGGAAGCGAGCGCGGCAGATCAATGTTTCCACAGACGACTCGGAGGTCAAGGCTTGCCTGCGAGCCCTGGGGGAGCCCATCACACTCTTTGGAGAGGGCCCAGCTGAAAGAAGAGAAAGGTGCCCTTTCTGAATATCGACTCTTGTTATTATCTATCCCAAGGTTCTCATTTCAAAGTTCCATTCATCTTTTAACGGACTCTTCGGTAGAGTGTCTCCAGTAGTGTTAACAGTATCTAGTTAAATTATGCTTGTATAGTTTGCCCATGATCTAAATCTTGGGCCAGTTTTTAATCTACTACTAACTTCTGTGTAGACTGTGAGGAGGGTACTAACACACACTTCCCTGTCCAGTGTAAAGTTTTAAGTTGGATAAACATTTGTTTTTGATCTTTGAAAACTTTAAATAGCAGATGCATTTCATATCAATGACAAAACATAATGATAAGTGTTCTTTGGATATTGTCCGAAGGGGTACTACCCTCAGGCGTGACCTCTTGGATTTTAAGATTGCAGAGTTTTGTTCTCTCTCTCTCTCTCTCTCTTGCCCAAGATTTATTTATTTGAAAGTCCGACTTACAAAAAGCAAGACAGAGATCTTCCATCCCCTGGCTTGTTCCCCTAATTGCCATAGCAGCCAGAGCTGGACTAGTCAGGAAAAAAGCCAGGAGCCAGGAGGTTTTTTCCCAGATCTCACATGCATGCAGGGACCCAAGGACTTTGGCCATCTTTCAGTGCTTTCCCAGGTTCATTTGCATGGAGCTAGATCAGAAGTGGAACAGCCAGGACTTGAACCAGCATCCATAGGAGACGCCTGTGCTGAAGGCTGTGGCTTTACTTCACAGCTGCTTCACAGCGCCAACCCCCTTAGTCTCTTGATGATGGACCATTTCTATGTGCAAGTAGAAGACTCCCTCATCCACTGTTCCATCTCTTCCTTCATCCCTTCTCAAGTTTCTTTGAAAGGCTGCTTATGCTTATTCTCTTAACGTCCTAACTTGTCCTAACTCATGTTCTCTTCAACCCTTCACACCCAGAGGATAAAATTGTTGTTGATTAATTTCACCAGCCCACAGCCCCAGTCATTCCGTGCTTGAAACACTGGCTTTTCTTCGCTGGTAGAAATCTTTTGATTTTTGTCTGATTTCTTCAGCTCGTTTCTCACACTTCTAAGCCTCTTTGATCCTTGCCTAACCTTCTCTGTAGCTCTTTGCCCTTATCTACACTTGCCCTGGGTGACCAAGTTCACTACCGCAACATCATCTGCCCTGTATATTCTGATGACTCCTAGAACTTTCTTTGTAGCCTGAAGATCCTACAGGAGAATCAGACTTAAGGTACCAACGTTGAAATGTGTGCCCCACTCCTCTCCAAGTCTCCTCACACTACCATTCACACAATTTATGGTTAAAAAAAGCCTCCCTTGCCTTTTTTTTTTTTTTTTAGTTATTTGAAAGACTGAGTGACAGATATTCCATCCACTGACTCCTTTCTCCAAATGGCCTCGTGAAGATGTACCAGGAACTCCTTCCAGCTTTCCCACATAGGTAGCAGGAGCCAGTACTTCAACTATCATTTTGCCTTCCCAGGCACATTAACTGGGAACTGGATCAGAAGTGGAGCAGCTGGAACTCAAGCTGACATTCACAAGCAACCATGTACCACAGTGCAACCCCTATGTCGCCTCCTTTGATATGTCAGCAAAGTCTGGTCCGTGCTATTTAGGAAATACACCTGCAGTCTGTCCTGGTTGCTGCATCTGTGTCTTTCACATCAAGACTGGTGTGATAACCTCAAAGGTGTTACGTTAATTGCTTTCTTAAAAACCTGCAGTGTCTTCCCACTGTGATTATCAGTCTGTAAGGTCTTCAGCCTTAACCTGTGGCACTCTTCCCCAATCACTAGACAAGCCACATTGGTCCTGTTCAGATACACAGATTCTTTTTGTATTTCCACTCAGTTATTCTCTTTTTACTGTTCCCTCTTACCTCTTATCTTTTGTTACAGCATAAATGCCACTTTTTCAATGCAGCCTTTCCTAGCATCTTGACCCCTTGCAAAGAAAGCCTGTCCTTTATTTTCTGTCACAGTTTATTTTCTGATTAGCCTTTTAAAAGACGATGCATTTATTGTCATTTAGGGTTTGTCTTCTCCACCAGCAAGTCTGTCTTATTCATTGTTATGTCCCTTGGGTAGTGGATTATTGCCTTCTTAGATGTATAATGATAATTCCCCCTTTTGTGTGGTTTTGCATCATATGGTTCCTCAAGGTGTAGTTTTTCATCATCAGCTACAGTACAAAATCCAGAAATTTACAAGTTTGAAATTGGTTCTGCTCCATCTTGCTTGAGACATGAATCGTTTGTCCTTGCTATAAATGCCATCCACCTAACATATACAGTACAGTAAGGAGTTTTTCCCCCCTTCTATTTTATTTTTAATTTTATGTTATAATTCCATAGGCTCTGGGATTTCCCTTACCCCTTCCTGAAATTTCCTCCCCCAACTGATTTCCCCCATAATATTACAATAGTATAGTCCTTTATAAGCAGTCCTAAGTTCATCATTCTGCTGCTGAAGTGTGTCCTGACATTGCTGATACAGACAATGTCAGACATCCAGCATCCGGTAAAATGTTTGGAGACAGACCGTGTTGTTGTGTTTCGTTATTACTTACAGATGTTTATCTCTTGCTATGTCTAATTTTAGTTTATAATTGAGCCTTGCATAAATAGGAAAAAAAATAAATAGAAAAAAAATGTGTATAGCGTTCAGTGTTAGAAGGGGCCTCAGGCACCCACTGGTGGTCTTGGAATACATGTACTTCATTCTTAAGTGGAGAGGCGTCCGGTACATTTTTACGGCCATATCTCAGTCATGGTTAAGTGTTGATCTTTTGGAGGTGGGCACTGAGGTACTGTGGGTTAAATAGACATTTTGAATACCCACACTTGTGATCCAGCTCTGCTAATGTACCTGGGAAGGCAGCAGATGATGGCCAAGTTCTTGGTCCTTGTCACCTGTGTGGGAGACCCAGGTGGAATTCCAGGCTTTGGCCTGAACCAGCTGTTATGCCATTTGAGAAGTGAGCCGACAAACGAAAGATCTCTATCTTGTCCACCCTCCCTCCGTCTTCCCTTCTCTCTTCTTCTGTTCTTCCCTCTCTGTCACTCTGCCTTTCAAATAAATAACCTTAAAAAAAAACAGATTTGTTTCTTTTCATTGGAAAGTCAGATATACAGAGAAAAGAGGAGACAGGGAGGAAGTTCTTCCATCAGCTTGTTCACTCCCCAAGTGGCCACAACAGCTGGAGCTGAACTGATCTGAAGCTGGGAGCCAGGAGCTCTTCCAGGTCTCCCACATGGGTGCAGGGTCCTAAGGCTTTGAGCAGTCCTTGACTGCTTTCCAGGCCACAGGCAGGGAACTGGATGGGAAGTGGGGCTGCCAGGATTAGAACTGGCGCCTGTGTGGGATCCCAGCATGTGCAAAGTGAGGACTTGAACTGCTAGGCTACCACACCGGGCCCTGAATCTTTAAAAATGAATTTTGCTCTTTTTGTTTTGCAGATTAAGAAATATTCTCTCAGTGGTTGGTACTGATGCCTTAAAAAAGACCAAAAAAGATGATGAGAAGTCCAAAAAATCCAAGGAAGAGGTAAGTTATGTTTGCCTTTGACCTCACAGTGTCTATGTGTAGTGTTACTTTGTAATGACTTCCTTTGTTAGGATGGGGTGGAGGAGTGTCTTTGAGCCCTCAACTTTTGGAAATAGTTGTTGTGATAGTTTCTGGTTCATGTGTCATATAACCTGGAGCTCAGTGAGTTTTTGGTTAAGAAAACAGCTCTGGTGTTTCTTGTGCAGTTTACCGAGGAATGAGAGACCATGTAACAAGTTGTCAAGAGCAGAAGGAACTGTAGAAAGCATGTGTGCCAGACTTCTTCCTGGTACTAAACCAGCTCACCACCTTTCTGGGCAGTTAGGATAGAGAACTGACAGCCATGGGACAGGAGCAAATGCTTCCCACCTAACATTTCTGCCCTTAATTTGCTTTCAGTATCAGCAAACATGGTACCACGAAGGACCCAACAGCCTCAAGGTGGCCAGGCTGTGGATCGCCAACTATTCCCTGCCCAGGTGAGGACAGCCTCTGGGGGAAGAGAGCAGCACTGTTTTTCTTGTTCCTTTTCAGTGGACTGACCACCTGCTTTATGATGGTTATGGGCATGACCTGCCTTTGAGTGGGATGGACACAGGTGTGCCATCTGTTTACAGCCTGTTGGTTTGTCGTCATGATGTCATTTGTGTGGCACAGGGCAATGAAACGCTTGGAAGAGGCTCGGCTCCATAAAGAGATACCAGAGACAACGCGGACTTCCCAGATGCAAGAGCTGCACAAGTCTCTGCGGGTAAGGTCCTCTGGGTAGTCCATTACAGTGCAGGGCCCCCACACTCAGTAGATTTTCCGTTTGGGCCTACCTCTGTGAAGGTCAAGGCAGCTACAGTTAATCCTCCGGACCTGAGCTCTTGTGCTGTGGGAGAGCCTTCGTTTAAGATGGCAGGAACTTCCTTTGTCGTGAACTCAGCTGAGACCCATGGTTCCATCCACGATTCTCCCTCTTAATATGTCAGTGTCGCACACTGATCTATCTGTGACACAGGAACTCCTGTTGCTGAGACTGTAGGAAACGGGGCAGGACAAAGCCTTGATCCCTTTCAAGACAAGCGACTTTGAACAACCAAGTGTAGAGTCTGGCATGGGATGAAGCTGCAGGGTTGTTTTTCTTTAATGGTAGAACAGCCAAGGAACTCCTTAGGCAGCCTATTAATGATAATCATTGTTTGTCTCTCTTTTTCTTTTTCTCTTTTTGAAAGTCTTTGAATAATTTCTGCAGTCAGATTGGAGATGACCGGCCTATCTCCTACTGTCACTTTAGTCCCAATTCTAAAATGCTGGCCACAGCTTGTTGGTAAGTTCCATTTTGCAGTGACATATTCCTGGGGGAGGGGAACATATGTAGGAAACATTAATACTTTGTCCACTGTGTCCTCTTCCTCTACCTGCATGACCATAGCCAACCCAGATGCTAGAGCTCAGCCCACCGTAAGTCACCTCAAGCCTTGTTTAGCACCCTCAGAGCCATGACACGTAACAATCTGTCGTGGTCATCGTGGTCTTGACACCAGCATATTGGAGCAGCTTGTATAACAGTCACCACACCTCAAGGCAGGGTGCTCTGCAGACACTGTCACCCACTCCACACAGAAGGAGCCCAGAGCCTGTGGGATTCAGTACTTCATTGGAGTCACATAACTGGGAAAAAAAAAAAAAGCTGTACTGAAGCGCTGGGCAGTTTGTGCAAAGCCTTTTGCCCCCTAAGTGCCCGGTCTGTGGTAAGGACTCCGTACAAGCTGGTTGTTGCATTTGTCTTTATTTTGCTTTCTGCTTACTTCCCACACATGCAGAAAACTCTTAGGATATAACCACATTGTCGTATCATGCAGTGCGGGGCATGGCTGTCTAGAGAGGAGACTTTAATTAAGCACACAGAAAGCACATGACTAGAACACAGGTTGAGGAGAAAGCCAAGGAACCTCAGCACTCGTTCTGGTTCTTGAGCCTGAAGCACTAGCACTGCAAAACCGGCATGGTCATTCCTGCCTTGTCCCCCTCCTAGGTCTGTTACAGGGTCTGTTTGACATAAAGCGGAAGTAGAAAGGTCATTTGTTGGAAAATTCCTAAAATAAAAAATCTTTTTAAAAAACTGAAAAGTTTGTATTGGTAAGACAATATTCACACTGAAAACAGTATCATTATTAGCAGAATTTGTCTTCCTTTCCAACTGCAAACTGATGGTCTGATTGTGTAAGACCTAGCTCTGCATGTTTTTCCTTTATAACCCTTTGCATTGTAAGCCTTAAGTTTTCTGTCTACCACTATGAAGTGTGTTGGGGGTGGAAAGACTTTGTCCATTAGTGATATTACCAAGATGCCTTTTCCTTCCCAGACCTACCCAGGCTGAGATGCTTTCCTTTGTATTTGATAGGAGTGGGCTTTGCAAGCTCTGGTCTGTTCCTGACTGCAACCTCCTCCACACACTGCGAGGTAAGAGAGACTCTTGCTTGAATCTCACTTTAGTTCCCAGTATGTGTAGACCTCTGTCTGCCACACAGAGACACACTGTTAATTCATGTGATTTCCATTAGCTTGGCTTTCTCTGACCATTGGGCTGAAATACAAATGACTTCAAATACTCATGTAACTTTTTTCTTGTGTCCACTTGTACTGTAGCATTTCACAGTGTCTGAACCCCGAAGAGCAATTTTTTTAATGTAACTTAAATATTGGTTTAAATTAGCAGTTCTTTTCAATACTTTAGTCACTTACTGTCATGTGATCCCTAATATGTCATGCATATTTTCTCTCTCTGTTATTCATCATGGTTTGAATTTGCACACAAGTTATTAAGAGGCAGTAACTTTTATCTCTCATTTCTTACACTCCTTTAGGCCATAACACAAATGTAGGAGCTATTGTATTCCATCCCAAATCCACCGTGTCTTTAGACCAGAAGGATGTCAATCTGGCCTCTTGTGCTGCCGATGGTTCAGTGAAGCTCTGGAGCCTGGAGAGGTAGGTTTCTCTTCTGCAGTCTGTCGCCACCGAAGCACTTGCTGGGCTGGCCCCTGGAAGCACAGGGTTAAAAAGCTGGTATGTAACGTCAGCTGCCAGAGAGTCTAGGTAACTCAGCATGAAGATGGCATGGAAGATTTCTTAGACTTTCTCTCACTAGTTTTCATCAGACATGAAGTTTGGGCCTCAATTTTTCCCTCTGGCAAAGTGACCCCTGTTTCCTGGCTCCAGTTAGTCTGGAAGGATCCAGACTAACCCCCTACAGGATAGATTAACCAAACAGAAATACCCTGTTTGGTCAGTGAAGGAAAGATAATCCCCTTGGCAGCCTGTTGGTTCTTACGGCATGGCCACAGGGGAGAGGAAAGTGAGGTTCTGTCTGGTGCTGTTGCCAAGGAAGTGGTGTCTCCTCCCAGTGGGGGTGCCCTTTACCTGGGATATATTTTCCAGCCACAACAGGGAAGATGTGTGGTTATGACAACTGCTTGCCCTCCAAATTTTAGGAGCATTTTGTTGCCATTTGAAATCAGTTGCTGCTTTTCCTCTTTGGGAACACACAGGAAGGTTTTGATCCCAGGATTTTTTAATGGAGCTAATTAGTATCTTTGCCAGATAGGGTCTCAAGTATGAGCACTGCACATTTTAATTGGCTTTGGTAATACTTAGCAGTATTTATTCCCTTAGGGCTTTGGTTGGTTCTGTGTATGCACATTGATAAAGTTCCCTTCTTAATTGCCCTCATTAGGTTTATGTTTATTTCCTTTCTCCCCTGTTTCAGACCTTTTTTGTGTAGTTACTGGGTACCAGTTTAATGGTCACCAAAAGGAAAGTAAGCCTTTGTCTATTTAGGAATTTCTGTTTCCGTTTGAATCCTTGGACAGGCTACAGATGGAGAAAGTTGCTTGATTTATGTATCCCCACATCTCTGCCCAAAGTATGTTTTGTTAGAAATGAATAAACAGAGAACATGAGGTCGTGCGGAACTGAATTTTGTTTATTGTAGCAGGGTAGCCATCATCTTGCAAGATGATATACCAAAACAAGAAAGTGAGTTTTTATACTTTTACAAAAACATAGTACAAGTGATGGGAAAGCAGGTGCGCAGAGTACAGATTCGCTGTTTCTACAAGGTCAGAATGGCGTATAGCAGTTCCAAGCACAGGGCAGATAAGTAGCTCTCCTGTGGGAAGAAGAAGATCAGGCAACATTCCAAGAGACAGCAAAACATCAGACACTGGGGTCGGGTCTTCATGACTCCCGACCTGCATACAGCTCTCGCACGTACACAGGAGGTCCTCTGCTTTGTGTCTCTCTTGGAATGTCTGCCAGGCGTCCACTACAATGTTTTTCTTTCCCGAATCTGTGCATTGCTTTGTTGCAGAGTGACTGCTTTAATTATCAGGCTAAAATGTATAATTCTTCCCTAATCCTAAATGCTACAGCATTAAGAATTTATGAACATGGCAAAGTGAGGTGGTGGTCAGCTTGTCCTTTGGACAAATGAAGTAGTCCCAAATCATTGAAAAACCTTGGGAAGTGGCTTAAATTATTCTTAGCTTAGAAGTTTGTTTTTGGGTTTTTTGTGTGTGTTATTTTGTTTGTTTTTTAAGATCTTTATTTTTATTGGAAAGTCAGATTTACAAAGAGAAGGAGAGACAGCAAGGAAGATCTTCCATCTGCTGGTTCACTCCCCAAGTAGCCACAATGACCAGAGCTGAGCCAATCCAAAGCCAGGAGCTTCTTCTGAGTCTCCCATGCAGATGCAGGGTCCTGAGGCTTTGGACTATCCTCGACTGCTTTCCCAGGCCACAGGGAGGGAGCTGGAAGGGAAGTGGAGCAGATGGAATACAAACCCATTTAGGATCCCAGCACACGCAAGATGAGGATTTAGCCACTGGGCCATCACACCGGGCCCTAACATAAAAGTTTTAAGTTATAGGTATTACAATTTAGCCTCTTAAATTGTGCAAAAAGGGTAGAGATGCACAAGTTAGTAAATTCAAAAAACAGTAAATATGCTAAAATTGTTTACTTGCATATGATGTATTCTTTTCAGTGATGAACCAGTGGCAGATATTGAAGGTCACACAGTGCGTGTGGCCCGAGTTATGTGGCATCCATCAGGACGTTTTCTGGGCACTACCTGGTAAGCCATCCTGTTATTGTTTTGTCCATCCAAGCATATGGAATCCTGTTTGCCTTTTCTGGCTATCATCTGCAAGGTAAATTTTTAAGAACAGAGATCTTCATGTAGGGTTTCTTGGGCTGCAGTGAATCAGAAGCAGAAAAGAATGTGCAGTGTGGGTGGTGTAGCACTTCAGGTTAAGCTACCACTTTTGACGCTGGCGTACCATATCAGAGTGCTGGTTTGAGTCTTTGCTCTTCACTGCCAGTCCAGATGTCTGCTGATGCCCCTGGAAAAACAACAGATAATAGCTCCAGTATTTGAGTTATTGCCACCCACATAGGAGACCCAAATGGAAGTCTGGGCTCCTGGCTACAATCTGACCCAGCAGCTACTGCAACTGTGGAGAGTGAACCAACAGATATCTCCCCCTGCCTTTCAAATACCATCTAAATAAGTCTTAAAATAAGTTTTTTTAAAGAGTCTATGAAATAGTTTGAGCAAAGAATAATTGCTTTTAGACTGCAATTAATCTGAAATTCAGTCATCATTTCTAGAAAACTAGAATTTTCTCTGCTGCTTCTCTTTTTTTAACTGATACCAGAGGTGCTTTTTTTAAAATTGGTTGTTTCTTTCGTTATTGTTGTTTTGCCACACATTGTGTTACAGTCCTTACCAATAAGTGAGACTCCCTCTCTGGTGCTGTAAATTCTGTGAGGCCAGCATCTGCTGAAGAGGATTTCCATTGAGGTTTAATTCACATACAGGGGAGTGGGTTTTCAGTATGCAGCTCACTGAGTCTTGACAAATGTGCCTAAACACTAGACAGTAGTAAGTAAGCAGTAAGTTTTCTCTTGTCCTTTGAAAGCAATCAGTGACCTGATTTTCATCAACGTAAGTGAATTCTTTCTGTTCATACGGTATGAACTCACTTGTAAGGGCTTCTAGCATTTGCAAGATCAGTTCTTACTGTTGGCATGTGTCAGTAGTTCCTTTTTATTGCTGAGGAGTATTCAATTAAAAGATTGTGCCATCATTCATTTATCCATTCTCCCGGTGGTGGGCATGTGTGCATGTTTCCAGGTTTTGGCTAGTCAGTGTACACACAGCTTTTCTTTCTTTTTTCTTGAGTAAAATACCTGGGAGTAACTTGCTAGTCATGGGGTAGATCCATGTAGAATTTCTTAAAAACTTCCAAGAAACCTTTGAGTGAGTATGTCTTTGCTTGACTTTAGAACTGGTTCAGCCAGTTCTCCCACCATGTACTGAGGGCTTTGGTGCCCTGCTGGGAACACTGGCATCTCCTCCTCTGTTCTATTCGTTTGCTTCTTTATGTATGATTGATTGATTATAGCTCCAACATCTAATTTAGAGCCCAACTAATGTATAAATGTTTGATGAATGTGGGGCTATAACAATGAAATGGAGGAAGAAAGAAAAACCAAAAATCTTTACTGGGTTATTCTTAACAAAAGTCTGATCTTAAAATAATCATTGGTTTCCCAGTTAGCCCCTAAACAGAAACACTTAGGAGTTAAGGCATTATTTATGCCAAAAACAAGAGTCTTACTGAGAGGGTTATGTGATTAGTTTCAACAGAATAACTTTAGTTGCAATTGTTTATAGTACTTTGTACCTTTTAGAAATTGGATAAATACCTGCTGATTCATTGCTGATATTTTCTTTTTGGTTTTGTTCTAGTTATGACCGTTCCTGGCGCTTGTGGGATTTGGAGGCCCAGGAGGAGATCCTGCACCAGGAAGGCCACAGCATGGGTGTGTACGACATAGCCTTCCATCAAGATGGCTCTTTGGCTGGCACTGGGTAAGCCTTCTCCACCTGGCCAGGGCAGCACAGTGGGCTCACCTCATACATAGTCCTGTTCCATAGACAACTGGATTCAAACTGTTCTTTTACAGGGGACTGGATGCATTTGGTCGAGTTTGGGACCTGCGCACAGGACGTTGTATCATGTTCCTAGAAGGCCACCTCAAGGAAATCTATGGAATAAATTTCTCCCCCAATGGGTATAATAAACTCACTGGGTAGGGGGCTGAAAGGGCTTTTGGTCAGAAGGTACTCTTGGTTTCCAACCGCAGTGCTGCATTTGATCCACAGCTACCACATTGCAACTGGCAGCGGTGACAACACTTGCAAAGTGTGGGACCTGCGACAGCGGCGCTGTGTCTACACCATCCCTGCCCATCAGAACTTGGTGACCGGTGTCAAGTTTGAGCGTAAGCTGCCTTCCTGTTTTAGGTCTAAATATCAGACACACAGACAAGGAAGGAACTCCAGAGGGATGCAAGGCCATGCTTTCACCCAGGAGAGCGTTTGTCTTGTGTTGGAGGAGAAGCTTCCCTTCCTGAGGCCCTCAGGGGTGTGGCAAAGCATATCCCTTGCTGGTGGGGAGGAAGGGAGAACTCCATGAATGCTTTTCCCTTCTTTGTCCATGGCTATTCTGAGCACCAAATCCTTTGTAGGATTCTGAAAGGATTGTGAGGAAAAGAGCTGAAAAAGACCCTATGATTGTTATTGTGCCCCTCCACCTGCCTGTTTGTCTGAAAGTCTAGTGTGACTGCAGAAGCAACATGGAGTTTTTCTGGTTGCAGAAATAGCCTTTTGCAAAAGTTTATGTTTTCACAGTTGTTTTTGCCTTTATTTTCCTAGGTTCTTTTGAATTCTCAAATCCCTCAACTGTCTCCCCTCTTTTCCTGCAGCTATCCATGGGAACTTCTTGCTCACCGGTGCCTATGATAACACAGCTAAGATCTGGACCCACCCCGGCTGGTCCCCACTGAAGACTCTGGCTGGACATGAAGGCAAAGTGATGGGCCTAGACATTTCTGCTGATGGGCAGCTCATAGCCACTTGCTCATATGACAGGACCTTCAAGCTCTGGATGGCTGAATAGACAGAGAACAGTGGAAAAAGGACTCTAACTTGAAGCTCTTAAGGAGCCTTTTTTTTTTTTTTAATGTATTTTGTTCTATCATGTTTCCTGCCAATTACCATGTGTAGACCTGCAGTAGAATGGGATTTACGTGTCAGTTTCCACTGTAGGCAGGCAGGTGCACCCATTTCACTGTTGAGAATTACTTGTCACACTCAGGCCCTGCCACACACTATGTAGACATTTATTAATCCTTTGTTCAAATGCCCTGTGATCTCCCTGGTAGCACTCAGGATTGTGACTGACTCTTTGCGTGCGTTAATTCATGAAGCTTGGCTTTTGGCATGGTCCATGTTTCAGGACCACATGTGACCAGGGAGCAAAGTGCCAGGACTGTAGTCTGGGAGCCCTCGAAGAGGCACCGCTCCCCACAGCACTGGCTAGACACGTGCAGAAGGTGCCTGGCAACGGACGACCTTCCTCTCCTTAGAGTGGGAGAGACATAGCCGCCGACACAGCTGTGCCGATGCTTTAGGCAATAAAGAAGTGACTCACTCTGCTGAGCTCACTTGCAATGCCAGCCGCGTCAGAAGCAGCAGGAAACTCAGAACTGAACATTTGCCTGGTCAGAAAGTCTCTTCGACTTCACGTTGAAGTTCAGCATCCTTTGTACTAACCCTAAAGTGAGGCTATTGCATCAGGGGTCAGTGAAGTTTTTAGGAAGCAAAGTGGTGCCTCTATTGTACAGTCTTACTACTGGTTATTTAAAGGATGTGTTTCATGTATTAGACTGGACTTTCTGTCAAGCTAATTTTAAAAGTTCCTAATGGTTAGTCCTGAGCATAAATATCTTTTTCTTTACTTCACTCATGGCTAAGAGTAAAAGCCTGTTCTGAAAACTGTCTTAAAGGTTTATTTTCTCAGGTTAAATATTTTCCGAATCCCAGTCATTGGCCCAAAGAGATCTTTTTTAAAGTGTGGATTGCTCCAGTCCTGTGCCCTCCAGAAGCCCTCTGTAGCAGTGTTGTAGACAGCTGTTTGCATGCAGGCCAGACTGCCAGCGAGGTGTGTCTGGACTGTCATTCATCAGTTACCTTCACCTCTTCCCACCATAAACATACATCTCCTGAATGTCAGAATTACATAGTAATAAGTACACACTAAAGCAAGGGTTGGAAGAAGAAACTAAGGGTTGATATGGTGATTCTCTCTTGGGCATTCAAATAACGCCCTGCCTCCCTTTTTTTTTTCTTTTTTCTTTTTTTTTTTTTTTTTTTTTGGTATGAGACATCTTCCATCTGTTAGTTTGTTTCCCAGATGTCCACAAAGCCAGGGCTGGCCCTGGCCAAAATCAGGAACCTGGAATTCAGTCAAGCTTTCTTGTGTGAATAGCAGGGAACCATGCGCTTGAACCATCACCTGCTGCCTCCCAGGATGTACATCAGCAGAGTAACCAGGACTGGAACCATAGGGGATGTGAGCACATGAAGCAGCACCTCAGCCACTTGTGCCAGCCGCTTGCCCCCAAATCTTTACTGTTGAGAGGCTGGCTTTATTGGAGTCTGTTAAGCTTAGAATGTAATCCATGGCTAAACACACTGTTTCAGTCTGTTTTCATGTGTAATCAAAGGGTCTCATTTTCTGTGTAGTTGGAGCTAAGCTACTGGATCCTCAGGTCTCTCTTGTTAGATATGTCACTAGTATTAGGTTTCCTTTCCTTCATAGGAAGATTTTTTTTATGAAGGTTTATTTTTATTATTATTTTTTTTATTGGAAAGGCAGATATACAGAGAGGAAGATCTTCCGTCCGATGATTCACTCCCCAAGTGAGCACAACGGCCGATGCTATGCCGATCCGAAGCCAGGAGCCTCTTCTGGGTCTCCCACACGGGTGCAGGGTCCCAAGGCTTTGGGCCATCCTCGACTGCTTTCCTGGGCCACAGGCAGGGAGCTGGATGGGAAGCGGGGCTGCCGGGATAGAACGGGCACCCATATGGGATCCCGGGTGTGCAAGGCGAGGACCTTAACCACTGCGCCACTGCGCTGGGCCCTATAGGAAATTTTTTTTTTAAGATTTTTTTTTTTTAATTGGAAAAGCAGATATACAGAGAAGAGGAGAGATAGAAAGATCTTCCGTCTGCAGGTTCACTCTCCAAGAGGCAGCAACGGGTAGACCTGAGCTGATACAAAGCTTTCCTAGGCCACAAGCAGGGAGCTGGATGAGAAGTAGAGCTGCCGGGATTAGAACCCACGCCCATATGGGATCCTGGTGTTAGAGGCAAGGATTTTAGCTGCTAGGCCACCATACCAGAAATTGTTTTAAGAAATTACTTTTCATTACCACTTTTGTTGTATTAGTTCCCTTAGACATGTTTTCTTGTTTGTTTTGAAGATGCTATCCCAAGAGGTAGCAGCTTAGTGGAAACATTTCTAGTGTTTGGCAGAACAAATATCTTGTGGCCACAGGAAATAAACACCATTGTGAGAAAGTGATTAGTGGAGAAATAGTAACCTCTGAGGGTCAAGGTGGTTAAAGTTCACCACCTGTTGGCACAGCATATCCGGCACATTCACACATCTTGTTAAAACCTTCACAGTTTCATGAGTTTATTGCCTTTTCACAGGCAAAAACAGGCTGGACGAAGTTAACTAACTTGCTCGAAGTTATTCAGTAAATGGTATGGCCTAATACGAACCCCAGTCTGTCTGACCATTTGTGACGCGTGAAAATATTTCACAGGTCTCTAGAGAGTACATTGACCACACAGGTGAAAAGACTGGTGCAGCAAGCAGGACCTGCCCACACGAGGCAGCCTTCTAGTATTGCGTCTTGTACACTGCCCTTCTGACAACTCGCTTCATAATGACTTCATACCAATGGTGCATCTTCTACCTCATGAACTTCGGAGCAACCAGTTATGTTATAACATGGGTAATTGCATTTGAATATAGGTGACAGTTCATCACACATCTTGGCATCCCTGACCTCCGCATTAAATGCCAGGAACAGGACCCACATTCACTGAACACCATGGATGCTTCAACAATTGCGCTCTCTCCATCCCCAAGAATAGCACTATCCCAAGGTTAGGACATCCAAAAGTGAAAATGGGCCAGCTCCATGGCTCAACAGGCTACTCCTTCACCTCCCAAAAGGGCACTGGCTCCTGTCCCAACTGCTCCACTTCTGATCCATTTCCCTGCTTATCATGTGGGGAAGCAGCAAAGGGACCCTGCACCTGCATGGGAGACCTGGGAGAAGCTCCTGACTTTAGATTAGCTCAGTTGTGGCCATCTGGGGAGTATACCAGTGGATCTTTCTGTCTCTGCCTTTCCAATTAGGGAAAAAAATTTAAAAAATAGACGGTGAAATGAAGTGTGTCCTCCCCTGTGTGCAAACACTGGCTTTGCTTATTTGGGTCGTATATCAGCCACTCTACAAATAGGAATTCTGATTTGACTAAAACAACAGCAGTTGGTGGTTGCAAAGTTAAAGAGCAAAGAGGTGTAAAGAAATGAAGTCAGTGGGGAGAGGGGGGAGGCCTAGCTTTCTGATTATCTCGATGGCACAGAGACAGCTGTGAGTCCCCCATGGGTGACATAGGCAACTTTGCAGTTTTTATGTTGGAACGGTTTGGTTTCACTCAATGCAAAATAACATGCCTTGGGTATTTCAGAATATCTTAGTACAGTAAGGTCTCTGAAAGGAGTTTATGGTATCTAGTCCCATTAAACTCATTATTTAGAGCAAATTAAACCAACTTGTGGCTTCTAAAAGCTTCATTCTACAAATTAAAGTTTTTGAAAAGGTTATCTTCATAACTGTGATGATGTTTTTAACTACTTTTGGATTGTTTCAGAGTCCTGAGCCACCGGGCAAGATTAAAACTGGGGAATCTACAGCAGGCACTGTGGTGCAGCAGGTTAAGCTGCTTGTTGGCGTTTTCATGCCTCATGTCAGCAGGCAGCTTCAAGTTCTAGCTACAACACTTGTAAGATCCCTGCTGATGCACCCAGGAAGCAGCAGGTCATGGCCCAAGCACTTGATTTTAGGCCATCTGAAGAGACTTCTGGGCTCCTGGCATGAGCCAAGCATTTTTGGAATGAACTAGTGGTTACGTCTCTCTTCTGCATTTCCTTCTTTCCATCCCTCTCTATCACTCTGCATTTCAAATCTTTAAGATGCAACTTCAGAAGCAGACATCAGCTGTAAGGTACTAAGGCAACAGGTTGGCCAGTAGCAGCCTGAACATTCAAGCCCTCATTCCCTTGTGCTATCTAACCAATCAGTGATGGCCTGAGTTGGGGCTGGCACTTTGCCTTTGTCCGAGTCTTTTAAAAATGTGGAAGGCAGATTTACACAGAGAAAGAGGGACAGAGAGAGGTCTTTCATCCACTGGTTCACTCTCCAAGTGACTACAATGACCAGAGCTGAGCAGATCAGGAGCCAGGAGCTTCTTCTGGGTCTCCCACGCAGGTGCAGGGTCCCAAGGCTTCGGGCCGTCCTCTACTGCTTTCCCAGGCCACAAGCAGGGGGCTGGATGGGAAGTGGAGCAGCCAGGACATGTTCCCATACCCAAATGGGATACTGGCACTTGCAAGCCAAGGATTTAGCCACTGAGCCATTGGACTGGACCCCTCTCAGGGCTTTATGGCCTTGTGGAAATGGAGCCAATTCTCTACCCAGTCCTTTCCTTTAGGGCCTCTGCACCCACCGGAACAATGAAGACCCCAACCCCATCCAGTCCCAGATTGCTCTTAGACCACTGCTACTGGATTCTTTTACCTGTAGGCTTTTTTTTTTTTTTTTTTGAAGATTTGTTTTTATTGGAAAGATGGATATACAGAGAGGAAGATCTTCCGTCTGATGGTTTACTCCCCAAGTGATTGCAACAGAAGCCATTCCAAAGCCAGGAGCCTGGAGCTCTTCTGGGTCTCCCAAGCGGGTGCAGGGTCCCAAGGCTTTAGGCCATCCTCGACTGCTTTCCCAGGCCATAAGCAGGGAGCTGGATGGGAGGCAGAGCCGCTGGGATTAAAACTAGCGCCCATATGGGATCCCAGCACGTGCAAAACAAGGATCTTAACCACTACGGTATCGCACCGGGCCCTACCTTTAGGCTTTTAAAGCCCTGTGGCTCCACATGAACTCCTGCTGAGCAGCAGTCTGATATGTGAAGCCACTGAATGCACATGCAGCTGCCGGGGAAGACCTCCCAGCCCTCAATGATCTTACCCTCTCTCCCCTCAGTTCTAGCCCCAGCCCAGCCAACAGCTGTGGAATGAATACATGAACAAATGGATGAATGCAGAGCCATTTTTACTAGAATTGGGTAGGGAACAGGGCAAGACATCCAAAGTAAATGCTGGAAAAAGGAGGTAAGCACATTTGCCCAAAGAACTGAAGCTTACGGCTCACTTTGCAAATGTAGCAACACAGAGCAAAGGGGAGAAAAAAAGTAAGTTTAAAAAAAAAAAAACATGACCTGGGTTCAAAGCAGAGAATTGCAGACTGAGTGGGGCTGGTCTGGCGCCTGGGTCCCACTGCCCAGTGCTTTGGCACACCTTACTGAGTTGCTATGTAGTCAGATGGCCTCTGTCATGACCCATCATGATCCCCTCCTCCCAGGTTACACCTGGAGGTCTTGCCACATGTCTCAATCCTCCGGGCTTCTCTCTCATCTTAGGAGGGTCTTCCAAGAGTTGAAACCCAATGAGAGACTCCTGGGCTTGTAAAAGGAGCCTCACCACTGCGGATGCCAGCCAAGGGGGCTCTGTACCCAGCAGCCACCCAGGAACAGGGTTCAGCCTACACCCCACAAGAACTGCTTGGTCCAAAAGATGGAGAAGATGAGCAGCAGGGTGACGCTGAGGATGACAGCCAGCAGGTAGGCAAACAGGCGCAGCTGAGGGTTGCGGAAACACTCTCGCAGCGACAAACGGCTGGGACGCGAGATGGGCAACGGCACTGCGGCAGGGGCCACATCATGGGAGGGTTCAGTCTGGCTGCCAGGCTCAGGGCCCAGGTCCAGTGTGTAAATCCGAGGCTGGCGCAGGAAGTAGCGCTTCTTGGGCTGGTCCTTGAGACAGAGCTGCCGGCCCTCCAGGATGACGTGGTGGGGCTCCAGGCGAAGCAGGGTCAGCAGGGCAGTGTCCGTGGGCAAGTCAGTAACCGGCTGTCCCGAGGCCAGCACAGTGGGCTGGCGACAGAGCGGGCAGAGCAGGCGGCGCTGGGCTGGGGTCACCAGGCTGAGGTGGGCCAGGCATTCGAGGCAGAAGGAGTGGCAGCAGTCCAGCACCTTGGGGGTGTGGAAGGTGTTGTTGAAGGAGTTCCAGCACACGGGACACTCAGCCTCCAGCTGGCGGCCCTGCTGCTCCACCATGCTCAGGCGATGGTTCGGTAGGGGGGCGTGTCCTGGTGGAGAAGAACAGAAGGGCCCTGGTGAGTGCAGTCCCGGGGCTCTGCCTGGTGCTGTGAGCTCTGTGAGTGCGGAAAGGTGTCATCCACATTCAGCAACCAAGGTAGGCTCAAAGTGTCTCCATCCAAATCACCTGGGTCCAGAGCCAGTTATCAGAGCCCCTGCCACTCCACCACCTAGCAGCACCTGACTTTAGCTGTTAGCGCCCGGGCTAGAGCCCCTGGATGTCAGGGTGCGAGCTAATCAACCCCCAGAAAACGACAAAGAGTCTCGCTAGTAATACAAACAGCAAACAGAGTTTATTGCTCCAGCATGCTGGGGTCAGACTGCACTTGGGGAACACAAGCCAGCCAAGCAGGGTGGGGGGGTAGGAGAGTCGGACCCTGAACCAGCCCAAGACAGAAGATTATATAGGCCCTTTTGGGCTGGGAAATACATCAAAAGTAACAACTTAGACATGTTAATTTTTATGGCCTTCAGCACAAGAAGCCTGTTCCATTCCCATACCCATTATCATTATGGCTCATCCCATTCTCACACCCTTATCGTCCCCCTGTTCCTGGGACCAGAGAATTGCGCCCTAGCCCCCCTGCACCTGGGTTCACAAAGTTACAAGACAGCAAAGAACCCTAAAGCTAAAGCGGAATCCTCCCAAAGTCCAGGCGCCTCCTGGCCTAGCAAAGTAGCAATTTTTTTTCAGCACAAAGGAATCTCACACTGCCCAACAAAAACATTCCATTCTAGCATTCTAATGTACTATCATTCTAACATAGCATTTTATTATTCTTACATTTACCTACACTCTAACACAGAGAGGCAAAAAAAAAAAAAAAACATGGCTCTGATGTTCCCTCCGACTGCCCTTGGAGGCTCAGATCCAGGGAGAAGAAGGGAGAGCCACAGTTAGCAGGTTTTGCTGGAAGACAAATAGCTCCTTCCCTGTTGCTTTAAATCCTTGGCTAGTGAGAGACTGGCTTTGTAAGTCCTCTGGACTAGCCTGCCTGTGCTTCTGGGGACAGACACAGGCCCCCCACTCCTCCTCCCTTTGGGCAAGAGAGGCAACCCTCTAGAATGGCCTCTGCCCGGCAAGAGGACCTGTTATCAGACATTTCTCCTTGACCTCGAAGCCTTGAAGAGTCTCCCTGCCTTCCCCATATCAGCCCCTGGAGCCTAGCCTCCCCTGATTGCTCCTCCTCCTGACCGTGCAGGGCACCCACCTGCACTTCCAGGGGCTCTGGAGTAGCCCGGCAGACTGCTCTGAAGTCCTGGGGCTCCTGCCTCTCGCTCTCCGGAATCTTCCACGCTTTGGAAAACCTCCTTCTTTCTCGCAACCAAGCCCGGGGCTGTCTCCATGGCAGCACACGCACAGCACCTGGGGCTGCCAGGTGGCCTGGGCCCCAGCCTCCTGAGCACACCTGCCTAGAGCCAAGGCCAGGGAACTGCCTGGGTGGTAGGGCGGGGATGTGGGGGACCTGTGGCCCTCCCAGGGCGTGGTGACCCAGAGAACCTGGAAGCCAGCCCCCTGGGCAGTCCCTTCACTCCGGAAATCCCCAGCCTAAAAAGGTAGGGGTGGCAACATCAGTCTTCTGAGCTGCTTCCCTCTTGGGTTCTCATTTCTCTTCTAGGATAGTTCGAACCTCCTCTGTGCACAAGGGGGCTGCCTGCCCTGGGCTCCCGTTGCTGTGAAATGTATGCCAAACCCTACAAGCTCTGAAAAGCAACTCCAGCAGGTTCATTTCTGCTGCGAACTCCAGTCCAAGACTTGGCCATCTCCCCAACCTTAGCAATTTAGTGCAGCAGATGGAGAGCTCCTTCCTAGCCCAGGTACAGCACCTTTATCTGTTCTCGTTTAAACAGCTGAGCTGCTAGTGAGGGGTGGGGGTGGGAGGGGAATAAAAAATGATTGACACTTGTCCCTCCCAAGCATTCACTTTGCAGATGGGACACAAGAAGTGACTCACCTAGAGCCACCCAACTGGTTGATGTCAACACTGGGCCTTCTGTCTCTGGACTTTCTAATCTAGCATCATTGCTACCGTCATAAAGACAGAGCACTGTATCTATTCAACCCACCTACTGGATGCACCTGCTGGCAGCTAGCGAGTATTCACGTTTGATCAGGAAGTTACTCATGCCAGTAATATTCTCACAGGAATCCAGGAACTGTGCAATAGGAGGAAGTTGCTGGGATGGGCAGAGGCTCCTTAGGGGCTCCCGGTATGATATTTCCTTGCCCTAAGTTGACACCTGCTTGCACTCTCTTGCACCTGAGAGCTTTCTTCTAGATCTGTGATTGCTCTGAACTGGGAAGTAGGGAACAAAGACAGGGAGAGGACGCAATCCTAAACAAAGCTCAAACACTTCCCCCGGGATCCACACCTTATTAAGTGAGCATGGAGTAAATCATGATGAGCAAAACAGACAGTCATCCGTGACCTCACCACGAGGTCTGGTGAAGCAAGGAACCAGCACTGAGTAAGCATGTGGGTGTAATGGATGCTGTAAAGGACAGAAGAGAAGAGGGTTTTGAGGAGCCACCTGCTCCTGATGAGACCTCCAGGGATGGTTTCTCCTGAGTGCCAGTGAAGACTGAAGGATGAAAAGAGCCCAGAGATGCTGAGGGGAGGAACAGCATTCCCGGGCCAGGAAGCAGTGCCTGGAAAGCCCAAAGGTGAGAAATAAAACATGTCCACCTAAGGAGGGAACTGAGGGCCAGGATGAACAAGGCCTGGTGAGGGGTCCTGGGGCAGGGGGGCATCTGGTTCAAAATCCAAGCCAGAAAAGTAACAAGGAGATCCTGTAAGTGCAGAAACTTATCTGGGTTTTATTTCAGGAGTGGGTGGATGATCTAGTCCTGTTTCCATTTTTAAATCAATGTCATTCCAGCTTCAGAGTGAAGAACAGACCCAGAAGGAACCAGAATGGACACTGGTGGTCCCAGCAGTGGAGTCCAGGATTGTGATGATGGTGTGTGACGTGGGTTAGGAGGTGATCGAGAAGATCATCTTGCAGAGTGAGATGGAAAGATGTCCTTGATGACGGAATCAAACCCACTTTCTGAGAAGCTATGGACTTCTTGGAAACCAGGGAAGAGAGGCTGGAACCTGGTTGTCCAGATGCACTGCTTATTAAAGCAATGACTCTAGATGCCTTGCGGACCTCTGTGGGCTTCAAATTCCTCAAATTCCTCTTCCCTGTAGCAGGGAAGAAAGGAAGCAAATGGTAGTAACGCTTTGGGAGGGCAGATGCTTTAGCTAGCACTTGGCATCCATAAAGATTAGGTATAGGCCTATTACTATTGCGTTACTATTGTACTTGGATTTGAGAAAGGGAGGGTCAAGGTGGCCTTCATAGCCATGCAGACATTTCTTCATGGGACTTCAAGGAATCTTTGGGCTCCAGAGTGTGTCAGGAATGGACTGTTCACTTTTATCAAAAGCCTTAACACAAGCATGGCTTTGGCTCAGAGATCTATATATGGAAATAGTCCAGGACTTGGGCAGAGATCTGATCAGAGTAGCCAGCAGAGACCTGGCCTACTGGCAGAAGTAGGGAGAACAGCCCCCTCCTTGAACACAATGAATTCTGCAGTCTTTGGAGTCATATAATAAAACATCTATTTGTATGCAAATCTGCCTGTACTATAATGTCATGAAGTAAAAGATAACCGGTATTAAAACCACACTACAGCATAATTCAATTTTCAAAAACATGGCACGCAATGCAAAATAAACAGCCACATGGCAACAGTGCTTAACCCCAGGGACCAATACTGTAGGTGGGAATTTCTTCCTCCTTCCCCATGCTCCTCAATTCTCTCATCTGAAAATTTTTTTACTCCAGAAAGCTTATGTTCTTGCCCTCAGATGTCTCGCTTCTCACTGCAAATCAGAACATCAATTTCTGTGAAGTTGCATGGCCAAAGCTACAAAGGGCCCTTCCGTTCCAGGGCAAGGATGGTCACAAGAGCCCCTGCAGGTGTTCCCTGTGGTTACAGGGCCAGCTGGTTCCAATCCAGGCTCCACAGGAGAGACTCTGGCCGTGTAGGGACACCCACCCCCCTCCATCAGCACCACCGCCTACCCACCCACTCACCCATGCCTTCAAGCCAGGACATCTCAGCTACAGAAAATCCTGCATACCAATGTCACCACCATCGTCACCAAGCAGTGGCTGCAGCCTCATCATAATGTTTGCAACCTCAGGATGCTAGAGATGGACAACTGGCATATTTCTAGCATATCTAAAGACTAAGTTTTCCTGTGGCAATTTTTCCAATTTTTCATTGGATTTCCTGAAACCTGTGTGGTACAGGGGCAGAATGGGAAGCAGAAGGTCTTCAGCCTTTAAAACTTACATCCAATGACCAATCCTGGACCAATGACTTGATCTCCGTGGGCTTTTCCTCCTCAGAAGAGACTAATCCCACCTTACAGGATGCTAGGAAAGGACTCGACTACCTGCCCCACAGGACACAAAAGATGCCCAGTACATAGCAAGGTTGTTTTGATGCCCATTTGTTGTAGATGGTGAAGCCAGGATGGTAGAGTGGCTTGTTCCAGGTTTCCCTGCTTGAAAGATGACTCCACCTGCCTCTCTGAGCTCACCAGCTGGGCCAGATGTCTCTCCACTACCCTCCCGGACTCCTTACCTGCTCCCTCCAGCTGCTGCCTTCTCTGTTAGCCAGCAAGCAGCCGCACCAGCATGTGCCTGGGCTCCAGCTCTCTCCCCAGATTCTGTCTTGCGCTGCCTGGTTTCCAAGCAGCTGGGGGCGGGTCTGATTTGCTTGGATCGCGCTGGAGCAGCAGCTCTCAGCCGGCCAGCCATCTGTTTCAGGTTCACTTCTTCCTTTAGTTGACTTTTGACTGTCAGCACCGACAGGGCGTATCTTGCCAGCCTCGGCACTCCTTGCTCTTTCTCCGAGGGGGCCGGCGCGCGCTCACCCTTGCAGGCCTCTCTGTCTG